CGAGGCGTTGTATGGTAGGAGGTGTTGGACTCCTACCTGCTGGTCTGAGGTTGGAGACAAGGAGTTATTTGGCTTGGACTTTGTCCAAGATACCACCCTGTAGATCCAGATGATCAGGGAGAAGCCGAAGCAGGCGCAGAATCACCAGAAGAGTTACTACGATGTCAAACATCGTCCACTGGAATTCAGTGAGGGTGAGCACGTGTTTGTGAGACTTTCACCCGTCACCGGTGTTGGTCGGGCCCTCGGAGTGAGGAAGTTGAGCCCGCGATTCATTGGGCCATTCCAGATCCTTGGTAGAGTAGGACCTGTTGCCTACCGACTTGCCTTGCCTCCGAACTTGGCCAACATTCACGACGTGTTTCACGTGTCTCGGCTTCGGAAGTACATAGAAGATCTTTCGCACGTGGTGCAACCTGATGATGTGGAAGTTCGGGAGAACTTAAAGACTCCCGTCGGACCACTCAAGATTCTCAATCGTGGCGAGAAGCAGCTGAGGAGCAAGATCATTCTGATGGTCAAAGTACAGTGGACTAGAAGAACTCTTGAGGAGTGTACCTAGGAGCGAGAGGACGAGCTTCTCCGGCAGTACCCCGACTTCCGAGACATGTATGTTTCTGATTTTGAGGACAAAATCCTTTAAAAAGTGGGGTGAATGTAAGAACCCGCACCGTTAATTTAGGAAATTAATTAAATAAATATGAGAATTAGGAAATAATTCCATAATTGACCCTAATAATTATGAGAAGGCTTAAATAATTATAGTAAGTGTTTAAGAATGCTGAAAGTCGCTTTTCTGACGAAAAGTGCAGATACCGGTTCTGCTCCACGGTATAAATGCGTACCGATTAAGTATCCCGGAAAATTATGAAAAGTGTGTATATGTCACTAGAATAATATATAGGACTGGCATAACAAGTTTTAGGTCAAAATAATGAGAACTGGTGCCAGAACTGATAGTGGCTATGTAAAAGCGCGTACCGAAAAGGTGCTGCAAAAAATAAAATAAAAATATGACAAATCTTAGAAAAATGAGTAGGTTCAGAATCCTAAGTTTGAGATTAAAATGCTAAGAGTAGCTATTAGCGCTAATACAGTACGATTAAAACTTAAGTGGCTATATATAGGATTGGCACATGATCCTAGGTCAAATATTTGCACCTCTACGTAGCATTTGCTGGAGCCTTTGAAGTCAGCCAACCTTCCTCTCCATCTTTGTGAGCTAAGAGGCCACCTTTCCTCTTGGTTTCTTCACCAAATCTCTTGTGTGAGTGTGCTTTGGGCTTGAGAGAATGTAAGGTGCTTTTTTTTTTCTGAGTTTAGCTTCTGTGTTGGGAGTCTTTGGGGGCTGAGTTTTTGTGTTTGGGTTGTGGGGGTCATCTTCTTGGCTTGTGGAGCTTAAAGAAGCTACCTTTGTGAAGAAAGGGCCAACCTTGATACCTATTTTCGTTCATCTTGGAGTCAGCATCTTTGGAGCTGAAGGGAGAGCTCCAAGAGCTACTTCTTGCTCTGTTTTGAGCTTGGGTAAGTTCCATCAACCTTGAGCATGAGTTTTCTTAGTTAAAAATGAAGCCTTGATGCATGTAACTAGCTAAAGTTAATAACTTGAGGTTGGGTAAGGTTAAACACACCTAAAAATGCATGTTTAAGCTTATGGAACTGTGAAAAGAACCACCTTTGGGAAGGATATCTCGCGAAATGCAGAACTGCATTCTGTCGCGAAATATCCAGATATGATATCCAGATATGCATATCCGGATATTGACCCCGACAAATATCCAGATATTCTGGGTTTTCGTGAACAGTAACGGTACTGTTCATACAGAATGATATTTTTGGGTTTGTGGACCCATGATTAGTTAATGTGGACTTCTGTATGATTAATCTAAGTTGGAATCTAAGTGATTAAGGGCTTATGGCTTTGTGAGAAGCCTAAAGACATGAAACATAAAGGAAAGACGTTGTCTTTATGTCATATGCTTGTTGTGTTTGAATATTGATATGATTATTGGTCCAAACAGATTGTGATCTTGCTGTTTGTGGACTTGAGCTTGTGTGGACTCTTGGCTTGGATAGTTAGCTTGCAAAGTAAGCTTTCGTGTCCTCGATTTAGCCATTGTTGGTTTCACCATATCCCATGGGGGGATGGTTTATACGCATGATGTGTTTTCATGTATTGTTTTACTGAAATGCTATTGAGCTGTTAAGTGCAAATGCCTTATGATATGTATGTGGTGTTCGCCTAGACGGGATGTGATCCTGTGGGCAGGTACGACATGGGCGCGTACTGTGTGGGTAATAGACGCATTCCTGCATTTCTCTGGCCAGTAGATTAGTTATAACACAAATGACATAATTATCTACTGCATTGCACTGTTTTGGAACTTATATGATATTACTGCTTTTGAACTTATATTGCACATGTAAGTGAGCTTGGAGTGGAAAATCCTGGAGGACCCCTTGTCTTTCTGAGATTTCTGTTTAGAGATCTCACCCCACGTTTGGGGCACATATTTCAGGTTTAGGTAACCCAGGGGTTGAGACCTCGGGCGGCAGGAGGCCGGAGCTGAGTTAGATATTTGCTGTTATGATTATATGCTGGATGCTGATATGTTATATTTATGATTATGTTGTTATTATTGAGACTCTGTTGGGCCTTGTTGCCTTATTTGGTGAGCATGGGGATTGTCCATGCCACATTTGATTATGTATCGTTGTTTAGACTTGAGTTGTATAAACTATCAGGGTTTGTCCGGCCTACGTGTTGTAGTGCCGTGACTAGAGACACAGTTAATGTTTTATATATATGAGGTTATTCAGTGTAGATAGTTGTCTTTTGCAATTTACATACAGGCAATGTTTTGGAAATGAATTAAGTAATTCAACTTGGTAATGATAATGACGTCATAATTGAAAAGAAAAAGATATTCCGCATTTTTAATTAAGCGTGGCTTAATACGATGGCATGTTAACAAACCGGGTATACACGGGGTGTTACACTTTGTTAGGACAGGGAATCTTATTCCATAAACTCTAAGAAAGATCCATGAACTCCTTTATTATCTCTTATTGTGCCTAGATTCCTAAGTTACTTGAAAGTCATCCAAGCCTTACTAGTCTGGTGGATAACTAATCCTTTATAGAGGATAATGAATTCTTTCGACCTTTTCTTCTACACTCGTGCCTTATAATCATACTCGTAAGTACACTATTCTCCCCATCTTTCAGGCGGATAGAATTATACTCCAAAGTATGACCTTCGCACACAATGCACTATAATAGCCTCAAGTCTAAGAATGGTCTACACAACTAAACGAAGAGAGACATTACTTATCCAATGATACTGCTATAAGTTTCCTTGTGGAGTCTCTCGACAGGTCGGTTCAGTGCGACTTGGTACACTACAAATCGACTTATGACATAGGTTAAGGCATCTCCATGCCTGCACTCATGAGTTCTATACCTCACATTTCTATGTAATTAACCTATTGTTGTCCTAGTCTAATCGAGACGACCAATGCCTTTCATTGATGCCTCTAGACTAGGAATAATTTTAGGGGCATAGTTATGTAGTGAGATCGAGTCCTTGTAATCTTGATTTCATCATAGATCCTCAAGGTACACCCATATATATCCCAAGAGACTTTATCTATTACACATATTATAAAAGAGGCAAGTGATATGAAAAAGATAATGTATGGTCATAATAATAACAATCATAAATGCTTAGTAGTACATTCAGTGTCATCTGACTCTCAAATTGTCTCTAAGACACCTATTAATACTAATAGTCCAATATTATGCATGTTGGTGTCATAAAAGTCTCTATGAAAGACTTGCATGAAAGAAGACAAAATCGGAATTTGATTGATGGGCTTTCAATTATTTTTACCATCTAAATCCATCTTTTAGCACTATTAAAATTTGAACTAATTTGGTCATTTATCCTTTTCTTACTAATATAAAAAGGGAAAAATATTTTTGCAGCTAATGCAGATAAGTTATCTGCATTTATTTCTAAAACGACGTCGTTTTGGTATTGAAATTTTTAAAAATTATAAATATAAAGACTATTATAACCCTGAAATAAATTAAAATTACAAAAACACCATGATTTTCGTCCTAAAACGACGTCGTATTGACTTACTGCAGATAACTTATCTGCAGTAGCTGCAGAAAAAACGAACCCATATAAAAAACTCTAATTAATATATCATGGAAAAAATGAGCAAGTTAGTTCAAATTTTAATAGTATTAAAGATGAAGTTCAATGGAAATAATCACACGCAAGGTTAATGATAAGAAAAATAATTATAGAGGATAAATGATAAAAGAATAAATTACATAGATTTTTTGAACTTTTTCCAAAGATTTAACAAGTGGACCAAAATGTTCATTTGTTTTGAGTTAAATTAACTGGTATCCTTTTAAATTTTTTTTTTCTAAATTTCTTAATAAAATCTTATAGTTCAAAAAGTTTTAAATAAAATTTAGAGAAACTTTAAACACTATTTAATAGACGTGTGTATTAATTTGGTCTTTATTTTAAGAGTAAAGTACCTTTTGGGTCTTCAATAAAAATTATGGAACTTAATTTAATCCCTTAAAAAAAAGTCGGACTCATGATCCATCTGAATTTCAAAATAGATCTAGTTAATATAAAATTATAGTCTCTTTGAAATTCAAAAAAAACCTACATTAATCTCTAAAAAAACTAATATAGTAAGGTGAGCCTATTTTAAAATTAAGAGAAATCAAAAATTAAATTGTTTTTTAAAAGATTAAATTAAATCTCGTAATGACCAAAAAATCCTTACTCTTGTTTTAATAACCTATACTCGAAAGTCCAAGTCTTTCCATTCAAACATGTTCACGCGGTTTGCCCCTGGGTCATACCTTGCTCTTTACTCAATGGTACTCGCACGTGCGACTCAAATCCGGCACGTGTTTCCTAGTCCTCTCCTTCACTCAGACAACGATAAAAATTAGTAGCGCCTGCACCGTTTTCTTCTTCGCTCAACTCTCTTTTCCTTCTCTTCTCTCAAAACGCTCCGTTTCGCTGCTGTTTCTGGTCAGCGGAGATCTCTACCCGATGTCGGTGAGTTCTGACCGCATCTCTCAATGTTTGCGCCTATTATAATTCCACGAATCATTATTCATTTTCGTAATTTTGAAGATCTTGTATACTGTATAATACATTGCCACCACTGTGTGATTTATCGTATATGGATGAGGTTTGGTCCTTATCTCAAAGGTAGTTTACTTTAGTTAAGAGGTTAAAGAGTAGATCCGTCTTAGTATTCTTGTCTTCTTAAGGAAGATTTTACTTTTGTTCAGTATGGGGTGGTTGTTCAGGTAAATTAGTTTCGTGTTGTTATGTTTGGTATTTCGATTTGGGAAGCTCTATTTCGGTGCTAAGAATTGTTTCCGTGTGTTTTGACTTTGGAGAGAATAGCCAATTGTTTATCTTCCTTTCTTGTAAATTCTGAAGCCAGTTCGTGTAATGTTTATTTTTTATGGTTGTTCCTGTTTGGGGTACTCCTTTTGGGCTATAATAACTTCCCATGATGCAAATTCTTAAGGTACTCAAGATCTGTTTTTTATTTTTATTTTTTTGTTGTGTCCTGCTGTGATGAATATAAAGTGAAAACTAGAAAGATCATTGTTTAATGTATGGAATTCGTTTTCCTTACCGTGAAAATGTTCCTCTGGGTTAATTCAGTATCGTGTCGGAGTTTGATTTGCCGGGAATTTTTTGGAGGATTTCGTGATGTTTGTTTGTTTGATATCTGCATTGAGATTGCCCATAATTGTTTGGCTTTAGGTGTTTTAGGCATGTAGTTTAGGACCAGTAACTATTATGTTACATTGTTTATGTTCTGAATGCTCCAAGGTTAATACTTGGGAATAATTGATAATCTAAGGTTATTGATTAGACATGCATGTTGTATAGTAGGTGATACAATTTTCTTTCAAGAGTTTACAGTAATGGACATAAACTAACATCACGACGTAATCAGGAAAGGTCTATCTTGTATGTATGTTTTGATTGAAATAGAGATGTTCATCTGCCCCCCTTCTCCCCCTTAAATTGGGTAGAAAAGCATCCTAAATAAATAAATAAATGTGAGGATGGCTGGATTAGACATGATCGTATCTTTTCCTTCAAACTTGGATGATAATTATTTTCAAATAACATTGTTTGGAAGGGAAAAGACATATTCACTTATGACTTGTCGAGTTATCTTTTTGTTGGAGCCACCCAAATGTATGATCTTACCAATAAGCATATCTAGCTGATTGAGTTATTTGTAGTTATGGGTGATAGGGATTGTTTCAGATTAGAATATGTTTAAAGTTGTTGTTTTCAACATCCAGCTTTTGGGTTAAGGTTTCTGCCTCCTTTGTCATTTATTGCTTTTATTAAACTGGATTTCTCCATTTATCAAAATAATTTTATTAAATATTTAATGCTCTCAGATCCCCTCTTTTCGGACTTCTTACGGAAGAGTCAAGACTGGATTTAATAAGAATAGTAGTTAGTATTAGTTATAAGAAACAATTATAAACATTCAAGGAAACTGAATGAGTGGATTGACAGGTTGACGAAGTTATAATATTTATTAATTTATATGTATACTTCTTTTTATATGATGCTGGTAGTCTCAAGAGACACAATAGGGGGAGTTCCCATTTTTAGTTATATGGATGAGTAGTAACATGCTTTGATTTTTTCCTTAAGTGCGAGATTTCAGAACATAAGTACATAAGCAGAGGTAGATTCTCTACAAGATTTTAACTTTGTGTTTAAATGTTATTTTCTTTCCAGATCAAAACTATAAAAGTCAGTAATGTTTCCTTTGGGGCATCTGAGAGAGACATTATGGAGTTCTTTTCTTTTTCGGGTGATATTGAATATGTTGAACTACAGAGGTCAGTAAGTTACTGTGCTTGGTTTTAACTACCTTTTTAGAGTTTATTATGCAAATCATAAGTTTATATATTAATGCAGCCATGATGAACGGTCTCAAATTGCCTATGTTACTTTCAAGGATTCACAAGGAGCTGAGACTGCAGTACTACTATCGGTAATTTGCCTGTCATTAATCATCAGTTAATATATATTTGTATCAAACACGATTCTTTATAAAATAGTTAAGTATCTCATACACCTAATCTATTTGTCCTGGATTGATAACCAAAACATCATATATTCATTATTGGGAGTTTGAGACTTAGAACTATGGGATTGTTTGTCATTATCCAAAAGGCATTACATTTAGTTGACATATTCATATTTTTGGCAAGATAATGCAGTGTCAGTGGATCAGCTAAATGGACAATTTCCATATTAGAAACTCTTACTTGAGAGGCTCTCAAAAGTCTCTTTTTGTTGAATCTCTTGCTTTTAGCCCTTTCTTAAGTATGGACAGGCCTCTTCTGGGGATATGCATCCTTCATTTGTTAAAAGGTGCTTCTTTTGTATTGGGTCATACATGTTAATCCTCCATCCTCAATCTTCATGAATAATTTCATGTCACTATCTGACATTGCGTCTGTTACATGAAGAAACAACTAAAGGACCCAAGTCTTTAAAGTGTATTCCCTAAGGCCCCAATAATTAGTTAGGAGTTAGTTAATTTGGAATAATGGATGGGTTCAGCATGTTGGTCCTTTCTCGTATAAAAGAGGATTTGCTTTCTGTTAGAAGTAGTTTTTGGAATATTTGATTTTAGGATGAGATGGTCTCAGAAAAAGGGGAGTGACCCTTGGAGAAGGTCTCCTTGTATCACTTCTCTATCAGTTTCATTCTTTCATTCATCATCAATAAAATCTTCCATTTCTTCTATCGCCCGTGTTCTCTCATTTTTGGATTCCTTTCTTACTTTTCATTTCGCCAAGTAAATCAGAGCTGCAACAAATTGGTCCAACCTGCAAGATCCGTCAAAATGGCTTCCATTGAAGCAAGTGTGGTAGCTCTGGAAAATTGAATTGAGTGTCTTAGACAGGAAACCAGCAAGAACAGCCATCAAATAGAAATGTGGGACAAGAAGTTTAAGTCATTGATGAGATTCAGCTTCTTCTAAATGAGTGGATGCAAAAGAATGGCATTACTTCAACGGAGTTGCCCAGAATCTTGTACCACTGGTTTGTCAACAGATTACCCAAAATGAAGAGGTTGGGTATGTTACAACCATGTCAGAGGAGTGTACTTGGATGCGGAAGTTAGAATTACCCATTTTTTATGGAGAAGACCCTTTAGGATGAATCGCCAGAGTAGAAATTTTTTCGAGATGTAGGAAATTCCAGAATCTGAGCGAGTAGCCGAGTACTATTGGTGTTTGTGAGTATGAAAGGTGGAACAGTGCACTGGTTTCGATTCTTGCAAAACAGGAAGCCTAATCTGCAGTGGGAAGATCTAACGAAGGTCATGCGTCACCGTTATGGCGATCGTACTCAAGGAAGCATATATGAACGCCTTACCAATTTGAGATTGGCTGGACCAATTTGTTGCAGCTCTGATTTTCTTGGTGAAATGAAAAGTAACAGAGGAATCGAAAAATGAGAGAACACGGGCAATAGAAGAAATGGAAGATTTCATTGATGATGAATGAAAAAAAGAAATATATACAGAAACGATTCAATAAGGAGGCCTTCTCCAAGGGGCACTCCCCTTTTTCTGAGATTATCTCAGCCTAAACTCAAATATTCCAAAAACTGCATCTAACAGAGAACAAATCCTCTTATATAGGAGGAAGAGACAACATGCTGATCCCATCTATTATTCCAAATTAACTAACTGCTAACTAATTCTTGGGCCTTTGAGAAGACTCTTCAAGACTCTGGGCCCTTTAGTTGTTTCTTCACGTGTAACAGTGTCCCAAAATTCATATCTTGTTCATTTTTTATTTTTCAAGCATTTTGGTTTTTTCCTCCTGTACAGCCCTTTGCTTGTTAAGCTTGGAGGCTGCGTATATGTGTTGACCACTTTTTTAGCAATTAGGAATAGGGGACAATCCTATTCATTTTAAGGTTCCAAGTTTAATGTAATGAAAAGTGGTACTGATGTAGGTGCCAATATTAGTTTTATTAATTATCCACTGTTTCATTATGAACAAAAGTTTCATTGTGAACCTCATTCTTATGTAATATAATTCCTAATCTGAAAATTCTTTCCATGAAAGTAAAACTGAACTGGCATTATTATTTTTCAAAAACCTTATTGGATATGCATGTTTTGTTGATTCATGTGATGTCGGATTCCGGAAATTTCCCCTTCTCTTCTTTAGATAGAAAAATCCTCTTACTACTAGAGCTATCATCATGCAATATCAGATTTAATATAAATAGAAGGGAAATCTGAGAGAGTTTATTATGCAAGCTTGACGATGATAATATTAATTGGAGCTTATGTTGAATGCGATCCTAGCCACTAGTTGTCTTATTTGGGTGCTATATTTAATGTTATGGTTGGTTATATGTGGAGTTCGTAACATTGTTCACAACCTGCTATATTGTTAAATTCTGTTTTGGTCCAAAGATATATGTAACATCACATTGGTCCTAAAAGGATATGTGCGACATCAAATTACTCTTTTAATGTCACTTTTTTTTTTTTTTAATAAAATTGGCCCTAAAATGACATCAAATTGATCCTTGAAGGACTAAACTGGTGGCATCAAATATCATTGAAGGACCAAATTGATGTCATTGATTAATGGAGAAGTAGTGTAATGTCATGTATATATTTGGTGAACTAAATGTGTGTTTCCTCGTTCCTGTCATTTAGAAATTTATAACCTGTAATCATATCAAATTTAACAGTTTGAGTATTTCAGGGAGCAACAATAGTTGATTTGTCAGTTAATATAACTCGGGATCCAGATTACCGGATTCCAGCTGCTGCGTTGGCATCATCTGTAAGCTTTGCAAAGACCCTCTACTTATTCTGCTTTAAGTAACTAGGCTGTTTTTCCTTAACAACAGTATGATATTTTTCAGACAAAAGTGGGTAAAACTCCTGGTGGTACTGAATCTGCTTTAGGGAAGGCAGAGGATGTGGTCACGAGCATGCTTGCGAAGGGCTTTATCTTAGGTAAAGATGCTGTAAATAAAGCAAAGACTTTTGATGAGAAGCTCCAGATAACTTCAACAGCCTCGGCAAAAGTTACATCTTTTGACCAAAAACTTGGGCTTAGTGAGAAAATAAGTTCTGGTGCTTCGGTTGTGAGTGGTAGAGTTAGAGAAGTGGATCAAAAGTTTCAGGTTTCAGAGAAAACCAAATCAGCATTTGCAGTTGCAGAACAGAAAGTCAGTACCGCTGGGTCTGCTATAATGAAGAATCGCTATGTGCTCACTGGGACTTCTTGGGTAACAGGTGCTTTTAATAGGGTTGCTAAGGCAGCCGGGGATGTGGGACAGAAGACAAAAGAGAAAGTGGAAAACGCAGAAGAGGAACAGAAGCGAAAAGTTGAAGACCAGTATGCACAGGTCCTTTCTGAGTCTCCAAAAGCCGCTGCAAGTGAACTGCACTCTTCCAAGCCTGCTCCTGCTCAGGGTTTGATCCTTTGATTTGCTTCTTGTACATACTTTCTTTGAAATTCCTTCAAAATTGTTTCCATATTAGTACCAACCTTTGCCTCAGTCCATATTGGAAGTGAATGTATGACAGATTTTACTAGTTACTTGGACCAATTTGCAGTTATATAATTTTGTTCTATAAGATAAACTGAATTTCCCAGATTTTATTTATGTATTTGTTTCTGTTACTTGTCTGCAAGTTTGAAACTCGTTATACGCATAGAGTACAATTGTATGAAATTATCAGTGTTAAAATTTATATTACTATTATAAAAAGACAATGCCAGTTTCGGTTGGAATGATCACGTTAAGGATACAAAAAAATGTCTGCTAGGAAGAACATAATAAAAGTACATAATTATTTTAGAAAAAAAGATTTTGCTAAAATTTTCTTAAAATGTATCATAGTTTTCATAAAATTTTCGTAAAATGTATGATACAAGTGAAGATACAAAAGCACCACCAAAAGCTGGCGGTACTTCCGTGCTTGGCCTTTGATCGGGCACATCCACCTTTTAGGTGGGTCACAGCCACCTCATGTTACATTGGGTAGCATGACAAACAAATATGGACCCGTCTTCACCTTGCGGTTGGGTTCTCACAAAACTCTGATTGTCAGTAGTTGGAAAATGGCTTATTAGATATTAGGTATAAGGGTAGTTTAGTATATCAATGATACTCTAGAATCTTTCTCTTGTTTTATATAAGAGCCTCATTTATGTACAGATGGATAATCCAATCAATGAAATCAATATTTTTCATTTTCTCTCTTTTACCTTCTATTATGGTATCAGAGCAAACCTTTTATCCTTCATGAATGGAGGTTCCGCTGCCTCACTTATTTTTTTTCCTTTGTTTTTTCTTCATCGTCTTCTTTTCCCTTTTGTCACTATTCCTTTCATCTTCTTTTACGTTTTCTGGTTTTCCAGATATACGGATCATCTCCATTTTCCTAGATTGTGATTTCTTCATTGTCCTAGATCTATGATGTCTCATTCTCCGGTCATCATCTCCGACCGTGTCTCATTCGTTGTCCGCTGTCGCGCAGATCTGTCGCCGCTCTGGTTTCTGTTCTTCTAGATCTGATCCGGATTTGTGAAACTCCTGCGCCTTTCTCTTTCTCTTCTCAAACCGCCATAGGAGAAACTCCTGTTGCAGTCGATTCAGGCATGGACGTCGTCCAACCTCCCCCACCACCACTATCTCTCTATCTTTCTTCAGATCTCCTCTCAGGATCTGAACATGCAGTCCATTCTGACACTGATTTTTTTTCTTCGGCGTGGATTTACTAGACTCTCTCCGTGTTGTTGCTATGCAGAGACTTTATGTGTTCTTTTCTAGATTTTCTTCTATTTTTTAGTCAAATCTGATCTACATGTTTTTTCGATTTGTTTTTTTTTGCTCTAATCGGACATGTTCCCGATCTGTTTGTGTTCTCAATATCTATTCCCGGTCTGATTGATGTTTATGCCACTCATAGAGGCTTGTTCCGGTTATCTCCAGTCATGACTATCTTCTCCGGCCTTGTTTCGGTCATCTCCGGCCGTGACTATCTTCTCCAGTTGTGTCCTAGTTTTAGATGTTGTTTGGAACTGCTATGCTGTGTTGCATTTACTTTTTTTTTTTTGGCTTGTATTCTAGCCATTTTAATCATCTTATGATTTTTTTGTTTGTTATGGATTTGAGTTTTTTTTTGTCACTGTTTGGCACTCTTTTTAGTTCTCCATAGGGAGCATTGTTCAAGGTTGCCGATGTCTATCCCGTCACCATTTCATTTCGCCGATGTCTATTCCGGCACCATTTCATTTCGCCGATATCCATCCTGACACTATTGCTTTTGTTGATATCCATACGGCATCAATGATTTCGTTGAAGCTCAGCATATTGCAGATTATTGGTTCCTCATTTAGGAGGAGATTTTTGAATTTTTTATTTTATTTTGCTATTATGTTTCTTGCTTTTTCTTGTTCAAGATGACAGTTCACTTTGTTCACTCTCCATCTAGAGGGGGAGTATTAGATATTAGGTATAAAGGTAGTTTACTATTTCAATGATACTCTAGAATCTTTCTCTTGCTCTTTTATATAAGAGTCTCATTTATGTACAAATTGATAATCCGATCAATGAAATCAATATTTTTCATTTTCTCTCTTTTACCTTCTAATATGGCTAAACAATGCTTTACTGTAAACGATACAATTCCCCACCCCCAAAATTTTAGGGGAGCAGAGGCCACCCCTAGCACTTATGTAAGTCCGCCTCTGTTCAGGGATTGCAGCTTAACTAATCTGAGACAGAGTACTGCGTAAGTAAAGCCAATGGGCCATTAGGCCTAACGGGCATGCATATTTAAAAATATTTATGCATCTATCTATTTATTATTATTATTAATTATTATTATTATTATTGTTTTTTTTTTATCCATTCAATTGCATAGATTTGGTAGCGTATATAAATGTTTAGGCCTTTTAGCCTATTTAGAGATAAGCTTATTGACTTATTTATAGACTTTTTTTTCTTTTTTTAGTTGGGTACAAAACTTATTTATAGACTTTAACGTATTCCTACCCCTTACGCGACTTGAACCCCAACCATCTCGCGCATTTTACTACATAATTTAATAAAGGGTTTTATAATTCTTATTTAAGGATACATAACATAAAGGCAAATCATTGTAAAGTCTTATCGTCAGGTTTGAGACTAAGATTCGAGCATTTAATCGACAGAATTTGCATTTAAAGCCAAGATGGTGTAAGTGATTCATAACTCATCTTCCCTTCGTCGCTGTAAGTGGAATGCCCTGAAATTCTTCCTGAAATAGGGACTCGAAATCGAATACAGCCATTAGGAGAGATCCCGGCAGAAGATGCCTTAAGCATATATTGACCCTCTATAGGACTAAAATATGGGTTAGGGCAGCTAACCCACCCATACTGTATGCTTAAGGCATCTTCTTCGCAACAAGTCTTATTCCTATTGCTTCTAGCCCCATTACATACCTTTGATAGCCATGAGAATTACAATTTTCCTACACACCCTTCGATTTCCGTGCTGACATGGGTCCTACATATAATTTTTTCTAACACATGGGTCCCACATGCTTTTTATCTCTACAACATGAGATTTCAATTCTCCTTCAACATGAGAATTATAAAACCCTTTAATAAAATCGATCTTTTGCCCTACATTTCTCCCATAAAAAGTTAGAAAATATTGCTTTCATTTTACATAAGATAACTTCTCTCCACCCAAGTGTGGTGACTCAGTTGGTAGCATGAGGACTGAGTGATGGGAGAGGACCTCGGTTTGAATCCCACCAACACCATCTGGAGAGAGGCATAAGTACCGTAATCCTTGACCTCGCACCCGAACTCTGGATTAGTCCCATAGGCGGCTCAAAGAGTCGAACCCGTGGAGATACCGAAGGGTTCTGATTCGCCTCAAAGAGGTAATTAGGATCAATTACAACAAAAAAAGATAACTTCTCTCCTACTCTTTCACTTTGATTTTCGCATCTCATATTTTTTTTTCTTTTTTCTTGTAATGGTGAGATCCACCCATTTTCTCTAGATAACTATCTTATATAAAAGGAAAATAATAAAATCCTAAAAAGTTTTCAAATTTTGCGTAAAATGTCTAAAGACCCACGGTTTTGACAATGGGCTGCGCTCAACGTGGGCCTTTACAATAGGATGAGAAGCTCATAGGTTTTGTTACAATAGGCAACTGCTGAGATGAAGTAATAGCGAAACAAACGTAACGGCAGGAATTACGTTTTGTGAGGGGAAAGTGAAAAGGAAAAGAAAAGACGTCACTGCGGTCGTAAGTTGTGGCGGCTCCCAACCCAAGTGCAAATAAGACGGTAAAGAAACTTGCGCAACAGGCAAAGGACCTTGAAAACTCAGGTAACAATGTATATGTGTTAAATATTCAGCAGAGGATAGGCCTAAAACGCGAACCATTCAGGTAAGAAAAAGAGAGATAGAGAAAAGGATCATGGTGCTGTGGGAGATTTCACTGGCAACTGCTTATTTTTTGGGCCTGAAGCGGACTTACAAGCTGGCTCTTAGGATTCAGCGCAGGATCATAACCCCTAAGCACTCCAACTTTCGTCAATTTGTTAACCGGTACTCTTCTCTTTTTTTTTTTCATTTTTTATAGCCATTCTTTTTGTTTTGTTCTTTCTTGGCTACACCTAGTGGGATAAACTTTAGTTGTTGTTATATTCTATTTGTTCGTTCTGTTATTCAAGTTAAGAATGAAGATGGAAAAGTGGTCGGGGAAGAGTTTATTTATTTCATGGTGATGGCTTCCTGCTTAAAATTGGAAAAATGCAGGTAAGGAATAGTCACGTTTTCACTTTTTTAATTTTATATGACTTGAAAATTCAGGTAAGCATTATATGTTAGAATTTTTTTATTTTTTTTTTAATTATTGTAGACTTCAATCTATTATAGTTTTACGGGCATTATATAGATCAACTTCGTTAAGAGATTCTTTTGTTTGAGATTGGATATCTGTAAAGCCTATGATGAGAAGGAAATTAGGTTGATAAGTGTTTTTTTTTTTTTTTTTGAAGATATTCTAATAGTTTCATTCTTTCGTAACTAGTTCGAGTCGGGATGAGTTCCAAAATTAAAATTTTAAATCCCTTCCAGGATGATATTAGGGAGAATCAATCATATGTTCTCACTCTCACTTACTCAGTTGAGCTCCATCATTTGGTTTATTAGGTTGATAAGTTTAGCGAGCCCGATGTGTGAAATAATCACTCTACAACTTGCCTTATAAACAAGGAGTGGTGTGAGCCACATAAATCCTAGGCCTTCAAAGTTTGTAGGGCCTTTAATAGGAAACGCGACAACCTTTCAGATATCAAGAATCATGTTTTTAAGAAACCGTTATGTTCTAATTTCGTATAATCCTAATTTAACTTTTCATACATTAGATTCTTAGTTTTATATGACTTGAAAATCTTTGGGAAGTCATAATTGTGTGATCTTTCATTTTCCTCTTTTTCTTTTCCACTGCTTTGCCTTTGCCATGAACATATCAAATCTATCTGTTTATGTTAATAGCTATTAGCTCTGCCAAATTACAATTTCTTTATTGGTGGTCTTCATGTTTTGGCACTTCACAGACGAACACGCGCTGT